TATCACCACTTTCAAGTTATTTATTCCGTGGCACTGGATTTGTTAATTATACTTCGGATCGTAACTGATTATTTCGGTCATAACATGGAATGTCTTTAACTGGTAAATAGGGATATTACGACCTGCCCAGTTCATGTACAACTAACTTACCGTAAGTTAGTCGACAAGTGAAATGGTTCCAATAAGCGATGTTTCAAAAACATGATTTTCTATCGTTTTACGTTTTGGCGAATATAAACTAAAGAGGTTACTTCGCTAGAGCTTTTGAATTCTTCTATTAATTGGTAAAATACTTGTTTTCTCTTCAAAGTACAGTCAATCGTATATTACATATGAATTGTAAATATATACAATCAAAATCAAAACGTTAACGAACATGTATTCCAAGAACCCAATTTTCTTCAACTTATGATATTACAAGCATCACTATAATCTTACAATTGCCGAACAGCACCCATCTGGACATCCTTTTCTTCATTTGATACATATTTTATAATGTAATTTACATTTTGATTGTGAAAATTCTCCCGGCGCAACGTCTGCCGGTGATCGGTTGGCAGTTGAAAAATACCGTAATCGGTAGGCACCCATAAGGTGAATCTGAACTTATGTGAGCAAAGCATAAACGATAAATTATGATCATAAATCATGATACGCAGATAAACCGAGAATGCGAGATAAAGGTACGTTTTAATAAATCCGTAACCCAATATTTTGTAGCTCCCAGTGTGAATAACGTTATGCGTTAATTTCAGTCAAAATCAAATAATTCGATGGAACAGCATTTCCCTCTATAAACTTATCATCGGTTCAAAACTATAACACAAGGATTCAAACCTCAGGAATTCCCGGGGATCTCAGCCCCCCTATACTTTAACATGGACAAATGGATGAATGGAGAAAAAAAATATTTCTGATCAGTTAAACAAATATGTGTTCACATTATTTAAGACTTTAGATAATTAAGGACCTAGAAACAAAATATTTTGTTTCTATAATTATATAAAGGGCATTATATTTAACCACAAAGAAAGGGTTAAACCTGAAAAACGAGTTCATCGATTTGCCAAAAAGGTTGTAGAAAAATCCATTTTGATGATTCAGAAATAATATTTTAGAATATGAAAATTCACCTCATCTCCTAAATTGTGTTACAATTCTATATTGATCATCGAAATAATAAAAAACTTATACCCATCTAAAAAGCTCTCTCTATCGAGCCTCTTCCTTTAGATAATACGATATATCTTCATGGATGCCTCTTTGAATGAGTAGTGGTGATTGTTAGGATTACCAATGATAGATCCCCAGTTATACCATACAATACATTTGAAACGTTCAGGACAAACAGGTCCTTTCACATAGACGCTAAGTAGATTAGATGAAAAGCAACCATAATACCACCAAGCACCTTTGTGAACTAAAGCACAATTTGCAGTTCCATGTGAGTCATTGTCATTGTCATATGTTGTGAACTGTTGGCCATTATGCTGTGTGAGGCTGTCCCCCATAGTCCCAGAAAAACCTCCGATGGTCAGACGATATTTGTCAGATCTGTCAATTTGAAAGATTGAATACTCGGCAAACTTTGCTTCACTTGATGGACCTGGCCACATTGCGAGATCGACCCGAACTTTGTAGCTGCCCTGCATCAATACACTTGCGAGGTTATCAAGTCCGATAAAATGTTCCTTTCCGGCATACCCAAAGCCATGTTGATATTCAGTCCATGAACGATAGAAGTCCTCCGTGCCGTCAAATCGTTTGAAGATATACATCCAGCCCTGGTCACAATAGGCGCTGAATATTCGGCCCTCTTTTGTTTTTATGTTTCTTACACCAGTGAATGATGGATCAGAATTACAGTCCTCAACATATCGATCTGCAATGAAAACGACATTTACATCATTTACACTTTGTTTCGCTTATTACAGTAATGATGAAGAATGTATTCATAAATTGAACTAATAAATAAATTGAATTAATGTTGAGCATTTTGAAGGGCGGTATTTCGCATCAATTGGTGTATTCAAGACAGACCGGAAATATTATAACCCTTTCTGATGTGTGCGTAGAAACATGGCACTATTCACATTAATTTTTGCTCTAGAACTTTATTTTATTCAAATCAAAGGTGAAAAAGAAAATAGAAAGAATTGGAAAATGGTTGCAAATATTATAATAATTATAATATTATGAAATTTTCAGATTAATTTAAACAAGAACTTCACTTACACTCCCCTCAATAAGTTTGGCAACCTTAGCTCCCCCTTTGAACTACGTTTGAATTTTTATAATTATTTACTTAACCGGCGATGAAATAACTTATAATATTGATTGAAACGTAACTTGACTTTATTTTTAATACCTCCAAATTTTCTCAACTTTTTTCCTCTATTACAATAGGTCGAAATTGATGATTTTGATAATTTTTGAAAATCGTCATTCTCATGTAATCCAATAGGAAATGGAGGGGTCGGGGCAAATCAGAAATCAGGATATCTCTTCAGTAAAAGATTCAGCAAAAATATTTTTATATAGAAAATTGAATTGTCTAACTTTTTTGTACACTAAGTGTTTAGTTTATTTGATGAAAACTAAAGTTACAGCGCTTCAAAGTCATTTTTGAAAATAATTTTTCGCCCCCTGTGTTATTTCAATGGGAGAGTTTTTTTTTTAAAAAAAATTTTGACTTTAAAGCCCTATAACTTTGTTGAACCTGAAGAAACATACCGTTTTTTGTTAAATAAAGTAAGCAAATTCAATTGCCTGCCTAACTCGGATTCAGCAAAAGGACTCGGATGGATGGATATTCTGTCATATGAACTACCATTTCCCATTGGTTAACATGGGAATGTCGATTTTCAAAAATTCATCTTTATCATCAATTTTCGACTTATTGTAATTGGGGAAAAATTGAGATAAATTTGAAAAATTTGGAGGTATTGGAAATAAAGTCAATTCAAGTTTCCATCAATAGTAAGAGTATTTTCATCGCAGGTTAAGTTAATACAAATTCAAAGGTAAAGAGGCTTTAACACGTAGTTCAATGGGGGAGCTAAGGTTGCAAAACTTATGGAGGGGAGTGTACGAAATCCCATTTGTTCGTTAAAATCTGTTCCTGTATATTCATTCAGCACTCAGTTTTAAGGGACAATATAAAAAACAATTGAATTGAATGCAGAAAAGAATTTAAACAAAAGTCTACTCACCACTATGACAATGTACATTGTTTGCACATTCATCCAAACTATCCTCAATTGTTTCCTTTATTTCATTCTTCACCTCTGCAAGGCAAATGTCCACCTCACTATGTGCTCTAACAGCAAAAACAAGAGCAATCAAAATTGTGAACTTCTTCATATTCAAAATTTGACAGATCTGACTTCAATTTTTGATTACATCGAGAGTCTACCATCGAGATCCACAGATGTCCATCATTTTATACCTCTAGAGATAAAATATTTAATTTAACGAATTAAAATCCCCTTGTTGTGATGATATAAGATCTCACCAACAGCCAAGCGTCATTGCTCAACGAAGCACGTGAATGAAACAAACAAACGAAATAACTGGCCAAATCATCAAAACAATTCATAAGATTAAATTGATCTTAATTACAAAAAAAGATTTATTTCAATCTATATGGATTTCTAATGCTTTTAATTTGAATAAAACATCATTTTACACTTTTTATTATGAAAATAGATATTAAAAAAATGCTGATATTATTTTGACTTAAACCGTTTCATTGATCAGGATGCATATAAAGTTGAATTATGTAACCATAACGATTTCTCGAATGGGCAATTGCTTTGTTATTATTACGGATAAATTGAAAAGTACTGTTGTCGCCATCCACTGATTGTTTATCATCAATTAATGAAGACATTAATGCTAGGTAAGTTTAAATTAATGTTAATCCATGGCTTCAATATTTTATTTTACAAATTGAAAAATACCTGGAATGTGATATACACTCCCCTCCATAAGTTTGGCAACCTTTGTCGATTTTTGTGATCAACATTTCAAACTGGAAATTTTGACATTAAATTTTTTGATAATTTCGCTAATATATTACGTTAAGTCATAAAATCTTGGCATTCTAGTCGTCGTCTGTTCAGCCATCTTAACGCAGCGTTTGAATTGTAATTAAAATGTAGAACGATGTTGTTAAGGCTTAATCTTTGAGAGGTTCATTTTTATTAGTTCTTGTTTCTTTTTTATGCTGCAAGTGCATGATAAAAGTGAACGGCAAAGCATCTAAGGCCATCTTCGCTACAAGGATCTTTGGTTACCATGGTTACGGTAAAAATCGTGATCACCTAAAAATAAACGGGCTTTGAAAACTATTCACAGGGGAGTTGAGGTTGCCAAACTTTTAGATGAGGTGATTCTGAAAAATAAAATAAAAACAGGTAAAACTATGTTAAAATCATACATAATACATGTTTGTTTATTAATACAGATTGTATCAAAAATATAAATATATTTACAAATTATATCTAGAAAATATGCTATATCTCACCTGTCCCGATTTTTCATTGCTCATTCCGATTTATTTTTCAAAATCCCAAATTTTATAACTGTATACCAATTTTAAGGAAATATCCCAATAAAAACAGGGGTAAACCTATTTACTCCTGACAGATAATTTCCTGAACTTACTTGTGTGAAAATATTAGGATCTGGCTGCCTCATATAAGCACGGGAGAGTAGTATCAGTTGTGTACACATTTTTTGGGGTTCACCCTGTACTTAACCAATTCAAAGTTACACTGTTGTTATATTAGAGATACTGTGTCAAATACATGTTTTATCAATTTAAGTTACACTATTGTAATTTTAGAGACACTGTGTCAATTATATACAGTACTTTACCAATTTAAAGTTACACTGTTGTAATTTTATAGACACCGTGTTAAGTACATGTTGTTAAAGTTACACTTTTGTACTATTAGAGACACTGTGTCAAATACATATTTTATCAATTTAAAATAACACTTTTTTTTAAATTTAGAGACCCAGTGTTGAAGCACATGTTTTATGACTATTGTTATATCAGAGTACAGTATGTTTATTAAAGTTATAAAACTATTGTAGGTTAAGAGACATTTAAGGACACTGTGTCAAGTACATATTCGATCATTCTACACAACATCTGAGCTATCAGTCACTTCAGGAACACTATTGTTATTATCATCAGATAATGCATCTTTGGTTTGTTTAGAACATTCATCCTTAAATAATATTGTAGTGTTATTATTTGGCAGAAATACATCATCTTCGCTTTCCAAAGAGGACTTGAGTTTCACATTTCGTTTCACATTTTGATTCACATTTAGCTTCATGTTTTCCCATTTTTTCTGACCATAAGCACATGTTTCGTCATCCTTAGATATTGGAGAATCGGGCAAGAATACACTGTCCTCCAAAAATGAAACGTATCTCTCATTATGCTTTCTATTTAGTTTCTCCACAGCTTCCTGCATTTCGGGTATAGGTGTCGCCACTACATTTGTGACATCATATGTTTTAAATGTTGATGTTACAGATAATGACCTCATTCTATTGTCTCTTTGACTAAGAGATGGAGTCAACCCTCTGGTATTACATCTAGTATCTGATTGGCTGAAATACCGTCTCGATCTGGATGTGCTATTTGATTGGTTGAAATGATAGGGGCGTTTGGCATTGAGTTTACTTATAGAATGAGCCCGACTGTGCATATATGAAACTGTGTGATGCCTCGGTGCATATCGATGAAACTGGAAAATATATAAAGGGTCATAGAATTTTTTTTTCTTTTTTTAATTTTATTCACCAGTAATATGACATTTAATACAATATACTAATCAGATTATATCCTTTTGGATATATAAAGTATTTAATTACAATATTTTGTTTTAAAAATGGCTTGTTCATTACACTTAAGGCTTATTCATTACACTACTTGTTGCATCTATAATTTTAGATGATTTATAATAGTAAGGAATAGGATGATGAGTCAAAAAGGGTAAGCCAAAGAAATGTTAAAAACTCGTTCAGCATGGCTTTAAAGTCATATTTACCACAATTAAACCTTGGTCAATCAGAGACATATAAAACATATGTATCTGGTTCAATGTTCTTTCACTGTATTGAGTTATATTGCCAGTCTTGTCTCTGAACGTGAACGTGGAAATTGTTCATGAGATGCGCACAGACATTTATAATAGACAGATGAAACTGATTAGAATGTAAGAACATTGAACATTAATTGTGCAAAATATGACTTAAACCGCATACTGAATGACTGAGTTATTAACATTTGTTTTTGTTGTTTACCTTTTTTGGCTCACCTTGTATCTATTGGTAAAATTATTGAAGACCACAGAATTTTGGAAAGTACATGTTGTCATGCCCAAAGTAGAAGTAAAGCTGAATAAATAGTAAGAGATCTGACTGTTTACTGCATGGGCTCAAGGCTATAGTTGCTGTATTGCATGTAAGGTAAAAATGATAAAATGTATAATTTTGATGACAAAAATGATAATTTTTTGTCATTTTAAAAGATATATAAAGATTTGAATTTCTAGATTATTATATTCAGACACATGTTATGTACATGTGTATTTTGATTTATCAAATTTTGGAAAGAGCATACTGTACCTTCATCAATGGTGTAATCTCTGACATTATCCTGCGCTTCTTGATTGGAGGACTATCTCCTGAAATTAAATAGAAAGCATTAAGTGCCAAAGGGAAAGAACCAACAATTGTTACAGAGCCTAGCAAGATTAAAAAATTTAAGAGTACACAAGTCATAAGAACAAGGCACAGGACGTGAACGAGATCACGCCATCAAATAGGCAGACACTATGAACCAGGAAAACTGTTCTCCTATTATGTTTACAAATTTCAGGAACAAGAAAAAAATGTTGGTGGTCATATTAATCAATAGCTCACATATTGAGCTAAAATTTAAGGCAATATGACAAAGTGGATTGTTTTCGATGAGAAGATTTATCGAAAAACCTTCAAAATGGCCACCAGAAAACAAAATGGCCACCCAAAATTTAATAAGTTCTAGAACTTGATATCCCCTAACATGTACAGGAAATCCGATGAGCAGTTTTCCTGAAATGGCAATGACAAGATTTTTCGAAAAACCTTAAAATGGCCACCAGAAAACAAGATGGCCGCCCAAAAGTTAATCAGTTCTAGAACTTGATATCCTCTATCATATGTGCGAATTTGAAGGAAATCCGATGAGCGGTTTTCCTAAATTGGCGATGACAAGATTTTTTCGAAAAAACTTCAAATGGCCACCAGAAAACAAGATGGCTGCCACAAAGTTAATCAGCTCTAGTACTTGATATCCTCTATCGTGTGTGTAAATTTGAAGGAAATCCGATGAGCGGTTTTTCCTGAAACGGCGATGACAAGATTTTAAAAAAAACCTTCAAAATGGCCACCAAAAAACAAGATGGCCGCCCAAAAGTTAATCAGCTCTAGTACTTGATATCCTCTATCATTTGTGTAAATTTGAAGGAAATCCGATGAGCGGTTTTCCTAAAATGGCGATGACAAGATTTTTCAAAAAACCTTCAAAATGGCCAACAGAAAACAAGATGGCCGCCCAAAAGTTAATCAGTTCTAGTACTTGATATCCTCTATCATGTGTGTAAATTTGAAGGAAATCTGATGAGCGGATTTTCTAAAATGGCGATGACAAGATTTTTCGAAAAAATCTTCGAAATGGCTGCCAGAAAACAAGATGGCCGCCCAAAAGTTAATCAGCTCTAGTACTTGATATCCTCTATTATTTGTGTAAATTTGAAGGAAATCCAATGAGCGGTTTTCCTGAAAATGCGATGACAAGATTTTTCGAAAAACCTTCAAAATGGCCGCCAGAAAACAAGATGGCCACCCAAAAGTAAATCAGCTCTAGTACTTCATATGCTCTATCATCTCTGCGAATTTGGAGAAAATCTGATGAGCAGTTTTCCTTAAACGGCGATGACAAAAAGCGGGACGATCACGACCACGATCACGACCACGACCAGTATGACGACTATATCCCACCGATGGTGTGATAAAAAACAAACTATCCCAAACCATAATCTAACATGAAAAGAAACAATGCCTAATACCCCCACCCCTCCCCCGCCATTAAAGTTCCATGAAAATTTAGGTAAATACAGTAAAACCTGCATATACTGAACATTATTTGCCGAGATAATCAGTTCAGTGTTGGTATGTTTTCACTACAGAGATGGTAACTTATACAGAATTCAGTAGAGGATATGTGGAGGAAGGATGTCCACTAGAGACAGGTGTTCACTTAGAGAGAGGTGTTCACTAGAGACAGGTGTTCACTAGAGACAGGTGTTCACTAAGAAAGGTTTTACTGTAGATCAAAATCATTGAGGTAAGACTGAGAGGAATGCTAAATCTGGCTTATGCCCAGGGGTAACATTTTACATGGATTCTACACAGCCAATATTATTCGACGCCGTTTCGGCATCGAACAAATTCGGCACCGTTTCGACACCGTTCCGGCACCAAAACCTTTCGACACCAAAATTTCCTACCCGACTAGTCAGTCCATTTGGTGCCGAAACGGCACCGAAATTTGGCAACGAAACGGCGTCGAAAATCAGATTGCATTTTGGGGGTGTATTTGTTTAAATAAAAACATTATATTGTGATCAGTAATATCATACTTTACCTTGGTGTATTGATATATCTGTTACACTTGAGCTCCTCCTGGCATCAGACAGGCTCTGAAATAATGGCAATAAAAGGGATGGTTATGCTTACAAAGGATTAAATAAAGTGAAGGTCAAATCTCAAAGCTAAAGTTGGATTTGAACTTTTGAAAAATACCTGTTTTGGCCTTCAATATGTTACCATGGTAAAAAATATTGGCAGAAATGTGGTGAAACTCATGATAACTTTATGTTGACAGTGAAACTTTGAAGTCAGTCTAAACAGTTGTTAAGTTATTGGAAGTTGAAAGAATTTGTTACCAACCGCCTAACACCAAAAACCATCCACAAAAAAGTTGATTATAACAATATGTCATCCCTTTAGGTAGTGACATAAAAACAGAATGGCTGCCAGATATAGTTGCCTGATAGTTTATCAACTTTAGAACTTGGTACATACCCTGTGTGTATAAAGTTAACTGAAATAGCAATGACAAGACTGATCAACAAAATACTAAAATGACAACATGTAAAATGAAAATGTAGTCAGCCATTGTATTTATAACAATTATATGTGTACTAGTCAAATGGCATTTGGGTTTATTACACAAACAGAAAAACATATGAATGATTGATGGACAGACAGATAGCTTTTCTATATCTCAACCAAACTTTGTTCAGTAGTAAAATAATGATCGCACTACCATCAAAAACTACTGTGAAAATGGATTAAACATCATTATTTAGACAAAGAAGGAAACCTAAAATCAGCTTCCTACCCCAAATCTGACAGATTTCTTGGGATCCTGAGACTTCCTACGTATGAGGTTGTGTTTTCTTCTCCACATAGCTAGCTGCTTTTCTTCCTTAGTTCTCTTCTTGTCTCTTCTGGTTCGCTTACTGAAATGTGCATTTAGTAATTAAATCCATTCTAACAATTGCACCATTCAGCGGATTGACATTCATGGTAAACAACCATAATGTAAATGAAATCACACCACCAGCAAACAGACACACAAGCATTAACATGCAATCATGTTTTCAACAGCGTGGCATGTAATTTTCAGCAGGGTGGCATTTAATTTTCAACAGGGTGGCATTTAATTCAATAGGGTGGCATGTAATTTTTAATGGGGTGACATTTAATTTTCAACAGGGTGACATGTAATTTTCAGCAGGGTGGCATTTAATTTTCAGCAAGGTGGCATGAAATTTTCAACAGGGTGGCATGTAATTTTCAACAGAGTGGCATGTAATTTTGAACAGGGTGGCATGTTATATTCAACAGGGTGGCATGTAATTTTCAACAGGTTGGCATAATTTTCAACAGAGTGGCATGTAATTTTCAACAAGGTGGCATGTAATTTTCAACAGGGTGGCATGTAATTTTCAGCAGGTTGTAGCACGCAACAGTTCAAATCCTGAGGAGATCACTGATACATACCCAAGATACAGGAACTGATCTTTAATGACCAATTATGTGTGAAGATACATTTGGTTAAATAATATAAATTTTCTTTTATTTCTAAAATAACACATTTTATGACTGTCGAGATCAGACTGAAAATTTCAGACTTACTAGACTATATAGAGTGGAAGACAGCATAGCAATGGGATGACAAAGCCACATAAGACTCCCACAGTCACCTGGCTAATATAGCTACCTGTAAATTGTAAAACATACTGTTTGAATATGGAACACAGCTAGCAATGCCCAAACAACACTTAATGTTTAGGCATTATATTTTCTTCACAAACATGAACTTCCCAAACATCCAATATCAAGGGTAAAATGCAATTCAACATAATTTAATAAATGCTGTTTTATTGGAAGAGTTGGATTTAACCATAATGGTAAAATACAATCTTGAATCCGACTTCAAATCAGTTTGAAACCAGAGAATTTTTCATTTTTTGCCGGCTTTTGACATTTTACTAGCAGGTGATGCTCATCTTAGTGAAATTAGTCGACAGAAATCACATTTTACAATGTTTTTTTTGTGTAAATTGTATGAAAAATGTTCAATTTAGAGCAATTTTAGTGAAAAATTTTGTGACTCTATGTCATGTGATGAGAAATCTTGTCAATCTGGGTAATCAAGAGGTTAACAGAACTTAGTACAACTGTAGCCAATTAAACATCATATATGAAACATTACCTGTTGGTTCTATGGTGTATGTTATGTCAAGGATACACAGGCAAATTACATCGGAGCTCGTTGTATCAACGGACCCTGTACAACCTCGTACGGACATCGTTCCGAGTCTGGAAATTGCTTGTAATTTTCGAGCCTCGTAAGAGCTTGTGATTACAAGACCCGTAATAGCTCGTAATTTCCGACCCCCGTACTTGACCGTATGGTGCCCGTAACGAGCCCCGTAATAAATCGTAATTTTCGATCCCCGTACTTCCTTGTACAGTGCCAGTTACGAGGCCCGTAATAGCTCGTAATTTTCGAGCCTTGTACTTGCCTGTGCGATGCCCGTAACAAAGCACATAATGGCTCGTAATTTTCGAGCACTGTACTTGCCCATACGGGGCTCGTAACAAGGCTCGTAATTACTTGTTTATTTTGATGAACACTTTTTGATCGATGAAATAAAATACAGCATACTTGAGAAATGACATTTCAATTATATCTAATTATGAATTTATATGTCTCCAATAATTTCAAAATGTTCTCATGTCTGTATCAACATGATAAACAGTATAAAAGCTAGGAAACAGAATAAACAGGAGGGTTACCATTAGGAGACACCATATTTCTCTACAAGTGAACTAAATGCATATAAAAACATTTGTGTGCAGTATTGGAATAAGTTGAAATGTGATGTAAATAAATGTTACTGTTATCGAATGTGTGAATAAACACAGCTATAGATGTGATCAAACATACACAGCATGTTCTGGATAGATACGTGAATCATGTACCATGAGAGCAATTAAATTTTTTTTGATTGGATTTCGATAACGGGCCTTGTATGAGCTTGTACGGGCATCGAAATAACGAGCCTCGTACGGGCCTCGAAAACAACAATTACGAGCATCATACGAGCTCGTACAGGCCTCGAAAACAAACTCCGTACGAGGATGGTGCTCCTTTTTGCCCGTAATGACTCGTAATTTTCGAGGCTCGTACGAGCTCATACGGGGCCCGATGTAATTTGCCTGTGTATTGTATGGATGGTATAGTGTTGAAGACATATATTCAAGCCATGGTTTATGCCTTGATGTCTTGTAAGCTTGAACTACATGGGAACTGTCAACAATTAGACATTATATATGTTACATTACCTGTTGGTTCTATGGTGTATGTTATTTCAATGACATTGTATGGATGGTATAGTGTTGAAGACGTATATTCAAGCCATGGTTTATGCCTTGATGTCTTGTAAGCTTGAACTACATGGGAACTGTCAACAATTAGACATCATATATCCTACATTACCTGTTGGTTCTATGGTGTATGTTATGTCAAGGACATTGTATGGATGGTATAGTGTTGAAGAAGTATATTCAAGCCAGAGTTTATGCCTTGATGTCTTGTAAGCTTGAACTACATGGGAACTGTCAACAATTAGACATCATATATCCTACATTACCTGTTGGTTCTATGGTGTATGTTATGTCAAGGACATTGTATGGATGATATAGTGTTGAAGACGTATATTCAAGCTACAGTCTATGCCTTGATGTCCTGTAAGCTTGAACTACATGGGAACTGTCAACAGTTAGACATCATATATGTTACATTACCTGTTGGTTCTATGGTGTATGTTATGTCAAGGACATTGTATGGATGATATAGTGTTGAAGACGTATATTCAAGCTACAGTCTATGCCTTGATGTCCTGTAAGCTTGAACTACATGGGAACTGTCAACAATTAGACATCATATATGTTACATTACCTGTTGGTTCTATGGTGTATGTTATGTCAAGGACATTGTATGGATGGTATAGTGTTGAAGACGTATATTCAAGCTACAGTCTATGCCTTGATGTCCTGTAAGCTTGAACTACATGGGAACTGTCAACAATTAGACATCATATATGTTACATTACCTATTGGTTCTATGGTGTATGTTATGTCAAGGACATTGTATGGATGGTATAGTGTTGAAGACGTATATTCAAGCTACACTTATGCCTTGATGTCTTGAAAGCTTGAACTACATGGGAACTGCACAGTTGCCAACTCCAGATTTAAATCGGGAGATTCCTGTTTTTTCAACCCATCTCCTGCGCAATTTTGCCATCTCCCGATTTTCTAATTTTGTAATTTTTCATCATCTCCCGATTTTTTCTCCCGATTTCCCCCGATTACTACAAAAAACTTCGCATGTTTTAGGTAAAAATCCCCCGATTTTGTCTGTGTCCTCCCGTTTTTTCCTCCTACCTCCCGATTTTTAACTTGAATCCGACTACTCATCGCTCGTTTCCAGTATCTTACATATAAGTCAATTAACTCCAGCGACATCTAATCATGAAAAACAAAGTTAATCTAATATAAATGTCCAATCAACAACAAAGAAATTAGCGGGGTAAGAATAATTTTGTCTATTTATGCACGATTACGTAAGCCTACCAAGATTAAGCATGTATATACATTAAGAGAAATCATGTTAATTGAATGATTTTACCATTGAAGTTTGTCAAAGATTGAGATTTATCAGTCACATTTACGGTAAGCTTTTTGGTTTTTCCATCCTGGACCAAGGAGGATTGGCTCCCAGGATGCAACATCGATACCGATACTCCCTATGTCGTGACTTCAAAATTCGAATTCAAACTGCATTTTTGTTTGAAAATAAGACCAAAATTAACGATACAAATGTTGAAGTGAATAAAATAGCGGCTGTTTGAATTCGAATTTTGCAATAATGACATCAAGAATATCGACGTACAGAGTATCGATGTTGCATTCTGGGAGCCAATCCTCCTTGATCCTGGACCTAGACTGTGCAGTAGGCCTATAGATTGCAACCCGGTATTGCAAGTGATTTCCTGTTTTATAAAGAAGTCTCCTGTTTTCTCCTGTTTTTTAAGAAAATATCCTGTTTTCTCTTGTTTTTAAGGAAAATATCCTGTTTTCTCCTGTTTTAAAAGAAAATACCCTGTTTTCTCCTGTTTTTAAAGATAATCTGTTTTCTCATGCTTTTAAATAAATTGTTTTCTCCTGTTTTTAAAGAAAATCTCCTGTTTAGACTGAAAATCTCCTGTTTTCTCCTGTTTTTTAGATGGTAACTTATTTTCTAAAAGAAACCTCCTGTTTTCTCCTGTTTTTTAAAAGAAGTCTCCTGTTTTCTCCTGTTTTTTAAAGAAAATCTCCTGTTTAGACTGAAAGTCTCTTGTTTTCTCCTGTTTTTTAGATGGTAACTTGTTTTCTAAAAGAAACCTCCTGTTTTCTCCTGTTTTTTAAAAGAAGTCTCCTGTTTTCTCCTGTTTTTTCAGTAAAAGTCTCCTGTTTTTCTCCTGTTTTTTGCAAAATATCTCCTGGATTCTCCTGTTTTTTTTAAAAAAAACTCCTGTTTTTTTTCTCTGAGAGGTTGGCAGGTATGGAACTGTCAACAATTAGACATCATATATGTTACATTACCTATTGGTTCTATGGTGTATGTTATGTCAAGGACATTGTATGGATGGTATAGTGTTGAAGACGTATATTCAAGCTACACTTTATGCCTTGATGTCTTGAAAGCTTGAACTACATGGGAACTGTCAACAATTAGACATCATATATGTTACATTACCTGTCGGTTCTATGGTGTATGTTATGTCAATGACATTGTATGGATGGTATAGTGTTGAAGAAGTATATTCAAGCCAGACTTTATGCCTTGATGTCTCGTATGCCTGAACTACTGGGTCTCCGCATACCTCTTTCTCTATCACCCTAAATGCATTAATTACATTTTAATATTACATTTTATTGAGGTGAATACATGTACATTAGCATAATTCACATACAATATTAACTTGCTCAGGTACTGTACTCCCAGTAATTTTTACGTGTTACTACTTTTCAGCAGAGTGGCGCTGTCTGTGAGTTTTGTAAAATTTGCAAAATAAAGTAGCTGCAAAATTCCAATAGTTCTAATTAAACTTGATAATAAACTATGATTTTACTACTACTACTGCTACTCTTAATTCACAAAATATAATAGTAAGTAATAGTAATAATATTATAATAGTAATAGTAATAAACTCCTAGGAATTCATTTCACTAAATGTTGAACTTAATAAAAAAGAAGCTGGAAAAATTTTGAGAAGTCACAAATCTGTGAAAATCAATTTTCAATTAATTTATCTGTTTTATTATTCACAGCAGTGATCTCCCCAGCATTAAAGCAAGTGGGCGCAGCACCCATCTGAGATTTTGAAAATAGGCTTGCACCCACCTGAAAATTCATTTGCACCTGCTTGAAAATGTGAAAAATCATAAAAATTGGCATATTTTGACCAATTTTGGTCTGAATTGTGAAAATGAGAATTTTGCACTCACTTGAGAAAAAATCCTGTGGAGATCACTGCACAGTAACAGTGTTAAGTTCCTCACTCTAGCATTGGGTCACCATTAAATTTCTTATTTAAATTTTATTTTTTCAGGCCTTTTCAAAGCCTCGATAACTGAATTACCCAATTGCATTAATGCTGGGTTCAATCAATATTAGCAATTTAAAATGCTTACCTCCGATCCAAATTATCATAGAGACCATACTTCAATGACCCAAACAGACACTTTTCCTTATACCAAATTGGAGGTAGATGCAATCTTTTGAAGTACAGGGAGATACTGTATGTCAGGTCAGTCTCAAGCACCCAATTGCAAATCACTATGGTCTGACCTCCTAATATGGGGGATGTCTCATTGAGGGCAATGTTTCCCCCTTCGCGGGAGAATATTCTAAGGTGGCAATCTAAAAGAAACATGCAAGTGTAAAACGAAATGTCCGAATATTATCTCTACTCAACTGGCATTGCTTAACTAGCATGTTGAATAAAGTAGGGCAATAAAACCTGAAGTGACGAGATTTCTTGTCACCTTAGAAATGACCTTGAAACCCAGAGTGACGACAAAATCTGTCAAAAAATTTTCACTAAAATTGCTCTTGTTTGAACAATTTTTATCCAATTCACGCAAAATTGTTTCAAAATGTGTAGAAATGATCTCTCACATCCGATTTTACTAAGTTGAGCAATTTAATGTTGTATAGGTATATATAAAATCTCAAAAGGTGACAAAAATGAAAAATTCTCTGGTTTTAACCGATTTTAAAGCCTGGAATTCAAGAAGTTCATAATTCCATCTTCACAAAGTGGGGCAATATAAATGTTTCTGTTTAATCATCCAGCCATCAAAAAGTGGGGCAATATAATTATTTCTAATTAATCATTCTAACCATCACAAAATGGGTCAATAAAACCATTTTAATGAATCATTTCAACCATCACAAAGTGGAGCAATATAATTGTTTCTGATTAATCATTTCAACCATCACAAAGTGGGTCAATATAATTGTTTCTGATTAATCATTTCAACCATCACAAAGTGGAGCAATATAATTGTTTCTGATTAATCATTTCAACCATCACAAAGTGGGTCAATATAATTGTTTCTGATTAATCATTTCAACCATCACAAAGTGGGTCAATATAATTGTTTCTGATTAATCATTTTAACCATCACAAAATTGGGCAATAAAACAATTTTAATGAATCATTTCAACCATCCCAAAGTGGGGCAATATAATTATTTCTAATTAATCATTTCAACCATCACAAAGTTGGGCAATTAAATCATTTTAATGAATCATTTCAACCATCACAAAGTGGGGCAATACAATTATTTCTAATTAATCATTTCAACCATCACAAAGTTGGGCAATAAAATAATTTTAATGAATCATTTCAACCATCACAAAGTGGGGCAATACAATTATTTCTAATTAATCATTTCAACCATCACAAAGTGTGGCAATATAATTATTTCTAATTAATCATTTCAACCATCACAAAGTGGGGCAATATAATTATTTCTAATTAATCATTTCAACCATCACAAAGTGGGGCAATATAATTGTTTCTAATTAATCATTTCAACCATCACAAAGTGGGGCGATATAATTGTTTCTGATTAATTACTTCAACCATCACGAAGTGGGGCAATATAATTATTTCTAATTAATCATTTCAACCATCACAAAGTGGGGCAATATAATTGTTTCTAATTAATCATTTCAACCATCACAAAGTGTGGCAATATAATTATTTCTAATTAATCATTTCAACCATCACAAAGTTGGGCAATTAAATCATTTTAATGAATCATTTTAACCATCACAAAGTTGGGCAATATAATTGTTTCCAATGAATCATTTCAACCATCATAAAGTGGAGCAATATAATTGTTGCTAATGAATCATTTCAACCATCATAAAGTGGAGCAATATAATTGTTTCTAATGAATCATTTCAACCATCACAAAGTGTGGCAATATAATTGTTTCTGATTAATCATTTCAACCATCACAAAATGGGGCAATATAATTGTTTCCAATGAATCGTTTCAACCATCACAAAGTTGGGCAATATAATTGTTGCTAACTAATGATTTCAGCAATCACAAAGTGGGGTTATATTATCATTTAAATGAATCATTTCAACCATCACAAAGTGTGGCAATATAATTGTTTCTAACATGTCTAATGAATCATTTCAATCATCATAAAGTTGGGCAATATAATCATTTTGACCTTTACAAAGTCAGGAATATAATCAGTTTTAATAATCATTTCAACCATCGGGGCAATATGATGATTTAGTCTACATGTAAAAATATTCCTTAGCCCATATTTACAGAAAGAATAGTACACAGTTAGAAAATCATGACACTATCAAAATGAGGCTGCAGATTAAACTATTAACATTTTATATTCAATAGTATTCAATAATAAGAAATTAATTCCTGGACCAGTGATCTCCCCAGGATTTTTTCTCAAGTGGGTGCAAAATTCTCATTTTCACAATTCAGACCAAAATTGGTTAAAATATGCCAATTTCTTGATTTTTCTGATTTTCAAGTGGGTGCAAATGGATTTTAAGGTGGGTGCAAGGGTGTTTTCAAAATCTCAGGTGGGTGCTGCACCGACTTGCTTTAGTGCTGGGAAGACCACTGAATTCTTACCAATTATCTCTGCTTTAGTTGCATTGCCACCAGTTTTTGCAAACAACCAGATAGGAATCTGAAATTAATCATGTTACCAATTATTTTCAGGAAACATTGAACATTATTAACTTTTAGGCACATGCACCATTGTACCTCCATCCTCAGTCAACTTTATAATTGAAATTTTAATTTTCCTCGAAAAAGTGATTTTGAAATGGGATTGATTTCCAACGGCACCTATGATATCATTTCATAAACATTTTTTGGAATAGAGCTAAATAATTCTGTATCATTGTTTTTTTATAATTTCAAAAGCATGAGTGCATGCACTAGCCGACACATGTACAGTAATGCATGAGGGTGTAGCAAGGTTGGAGCCCTCTACTGTACTACAGTGTATCACTCCTTGCTCTAGAATTCCTGCACTCTATATCTATTAACAACCACGATATTCACATCTTTGGTGACTGTCAACCAGCCCTTCTTAGCACTTTCAGTAGCAATAAACCAAGGTCTGAAATTAAATGCATTGAAAATTCCAGGTTTCTGGTTTACAGATTGAGCGAGGGCGGCAATGTTTTAACCTACTACTGGGTCCCAAGCCACTTAGGAATTAACGGCAATGAATTAGCCGATACATATGCCAAGGAAGCAGCAGCGGAAGCAGCGACACTGCCCCCATGCTCTGTTAAACAAAGCAAAGAGGAAGTATATAGATCTATAAAGAAAACTGCCCTAAGCAAGTGGCAGACTCTATATGATAACTCAACAAAAGTCAAACACATACAAGAAATTATTGAAACTGTAGGAGTCCAAAATAATCTGAATGAACAAAATCGGTCTTACTTTTGTAAGATAAATCAACTGATTACTGGACACTCCAAGCTAAACGATCATTTGTCTAAGATACAGACAGACATCTCAAACCAATGCGAGCACTGCAAATGTGCAGAGACAGTTCACCACTACATTTTCAATTGTAAGAAGTTCTATGATGAACGTGAACTAATGCTACATAAGGCTGAAGTGAAATTACTAGGGATTGAAGGACCCAAGCCAAATATAGACTTAAAGATTTTGACAGGCTTTCATAAAGCACTTAATGAAGCACAGAACAGAGATATGAGACATTTCTTAATGACATATCTAAAGACAACTAAAAGAATCTAACATTAAACAAACCAAGAAACAGACAGAGACTGTTAAATATAAGTACAGATAATGACTGCTGAGAGAGAGAGAAATAAATAAATAATATGAATGTAAATATGAATAATGAATGACACTTTGAAAATCTGCGCAACAAGTGAATAAAGTACAAGAGAAAGTACATAGTGAATATACAAAAAGCACAAGAGACTAACTGCCGAGGAAAAAGCGGCTTATGCAACACAACAACAACAACCTTTATAAATATGACAATGGCTTACCGATTTCCATCGAATAACTAAGATCATTGACTGTATGGTCAGAATCATTGTCTACTTCTTTATGAAACCATGAGTACCTTGAATTAATAAACTGAAATAATCTAAGCTGATTGGCTGAGAAAATTTCGGCATGTTTGAATTTCGATTTGAACATACAGGTAGTTTAGAGCTCCCCCCTCCCTTTACTCTACAGTAGATCTAGGTCTAGTCCAGCCCAGCATTTCCAATTTTCCAGAATCAAATTTTTAGTTTAGATCTACTGGAAAACGTGAGAACCGATATGCTTACTAGCTTGAAACCATCAGTTTCGTGTGCTGATATCGTCAAGTTGAAGATCAGATCACTGAATGCAACTAGTATGATTAATATCGTGTTTATTTTACGAAAAATGGAAAGCAGAAAAATCCGTGACATTTTAGGATTTTAAAAATGGCGCATTTTACATTTGGCGTGTCATTTGATTACAACCAATTAGCGCGCGAAATTTAATTCACTCCGAAAATGTTTACAAATGGCTGACTTGTGTGAAGCCGATTTAGGTACTTGTTTTTATCGATCTAAGGACTCCATAAAGAATATAAGAATAAAGTAAGTATAGAAATATGCATCGGATCATTATATTGAATTGCACGGGAAAATTTGAACTCACTCGACTCACCATTTTGAAATAAATCTCATTTGAATTCAAAATGATGTGAAAATTTTGATTTCAAAAATTTCAAATTGATTATCCCGTGTCAGGACTCAGGACTATAGTCCTAAGAACGTTTTAGCATTCTTTTCGTGAAGTTGAATCCACAATTATCTGGGTTTATTGGCAGAACAAATAAATTTTTGTTTTTGATCGCAATATTTGCGTGTAATATTAGACTAACTTATTTCAGCCGTCAAATTCCTTCATTTACATGTATTCGTACTTCCAGGCCACTTCCTGGCCAGTCAAACGGGAAATCCCCTTTGAAATCCAACCACCATTTTGAAAAGTGATGGAATATGAATCTCTCTCAATGAAAAAGAAAAATGTCCCTGTTCTGCCGATAAACCCACATAATTGTGGATTCAACTATACGAAAAGAATGCTAAAATACCCAGGAATCTATTGAAGTAGGTATCTTAAGTGTAAGAGGCGTAGAAAATTCTCCCATATTATAATTGTACATGCAAAAGATTGAAGCGTTCTCAGGGAAAGAAATTTTGGGCCCCTAAAACCAAAATTTTGAAATTTTGAGGCCCATTTTCTCAAAAATTTGGTTTAAAATTAAAAAATAAGTCCCATGATTGACCAAAAAGGCCCACTTTTTGGGGCCTTAAAGGCCCAAAATTTTTTTATGGGCCCAATTTTTTTTATGGGCCCACCCAAGGCCTAGTATGTATCCAACAGACTGACTAGAAGTCAGTCTGTTATGATGTACTACTTTCCTGTGGAAATTGCAGTGAAATTTTTTGCACAAAATTATCAATTAGAGGAACCATTTCTTCAAAAAAAATAAACATTACAAAATCTCAATTAAATAGTAAGGTACAATTAAATGCAATAAAAAGTAACACAGCATATTGTCAAGTGGAAATAAAGCTAGTTGAAGTAACAAATGTGCAAATTAATTTTACCAATCGGCCATTTTGAATAGCACTTCCTATGTAAACAAATATTTCACATTACCAAACTTTAACATAGGTGCCTTATAGTCTGAATATAATTCAGACTAAATAGGATATAGTCTAACCCAAGGCCCACCCAATTTGATTAATTATTGTAAACTTTGATGTGGTCCATTTGAGCTGTTGAAAAATCCTATTGAAAGCAATTTTATTTGATTTATTATATTCCCCCGAGTGTTTTTGGAAAAAAACTTGCATCAAATTAAAGTTAATTTTGAGATTCATATATAACTTTACTACATTTTAGAGTCCATATCAAGAAGGTGACATCTGCAAGTATTGTACCACAAGTTGCGATAGAACAAGAGTCAGGAGACAATACTGAGATTAAAGAACGCCGACTGAAGGAAAATACCACAGGAGGAGCGGATGATACGGACACTTATACATTTAAATGGCAGGAAAAAGTATTTAGTGATGTAAGTTTGCAAATCTTTAACCCTCTTAAATGAAAATAACTGTATTTGCTTAATACATTCTAAATTGTTATGATCTTTCTGTCTGCACCACAAGGGGTCTCCAACTATTTTGTGGATATCGTTTTGTGTTCACTGTCTGTAACAAATGGTGTTCTTTTATGTGCACTTATACAAAAGGATTCAAGTGCATGTATACACCAAAACCTTTATATAAATCGTGGACCACTAATGTCTCTTTATTTCAGAGAGAAATTCAGCTGTATAATGATGCCAACAAGTGTGAGAGTGTTTTGGAGAGGACATACCATGAACAAGTTGTGAAAGTTCTCCATGATGGGAAACCAACTAAACGCCTCTTTTCTTATGTGGATCATGACAGCTTTACTAATAAAGATGAGGTATAATGGTTAATATACCAGTGTGTGTGGGGGGAGGGGGATTTAAAATTGGATGGAGGGGGGGGGGGTATAAAAGTGGACCTTAAACATTGAAGAAAATATGCCTCAATTATTTTTTCAAATACACCTTTGGAAAATGTGTGTCACTTTAAAAAAGAAGTCCTAATTATCAAAAATCAGTCCAGATTTAACCTTACAAGTGTGATCCTTAAAAGAGTAAATCAACATATTTGAATGAGTATCGAGTAATCTATATTTTCAAACTCTCAAACACGGGGCTTTTCAATGAGATTTTTTAAAACCTATTAGACTGGAGCAACTTGAGGGTCTAGAAACATTAGACTCTGGAGAGTCTCGGGAGTCTAAAAGCCTAGTGAGAACCCTGAACATGTAAATTGTAAACAAATTGAGTTAGAAGTAAGAGAAAATATAAATTTTAATATAAATTCAAGGGCTTTTGAGGACCATAAAAATATGAAATTTATAATTTTGATCAGACATGAAATGTTTCTTTTAGACATTAAAACCAATGACAACATCACCTACAGAGACACAGACGACATTAGCAGAAAAGATGGTGAATGTACGACGTAGAAAAACTGGCGGATTGAGACTAAGAGAAAGGTACGATGTACATCTGCAATGGTTACAACTCATTATGAAGTTGTTGATATACATGAAGTGTATAAGAAATTTTTGATATACCTAAATTGAGGAAAACAGGATCCTCTTTTTATTTAGAAAATAAGACTAACATTTTTAAAAAAAGTAACAAGGTGGGGTCCTAATCCATAATTTTTCAGAGAGTTGGATTGATCATTTTATTATCACTGGACTTCATTTCACTTTGCATGGCCTTACAGTCTAGAACAATTATGCATGTTTTCAATTTGTTAGATTTAACCACATGAAACAGCTACTTTGGAGGTAATTTTCAACTATTTGATTAACAATTTGTTTTAATTGAAAGTTATATTGTTAATTTGTTTATGTTCCTACATATCTGGTTACATGTATACTTATCTGAAATATGGAATAATATCATGTTTTATGTCACCATCAGAAGTGATGACATATTATCATAGTCTCAAACTTTTTTGTGGACTGTTGGTGTCTGTAGCAAATGGCAGATGGTGACATTTTGTGTGTTAATGTCTTGTTATCATTTGTACACTAAACCATTCTATGGTGACATAGTCTCCAATTTATTGTGAACGGTGTTTGGTGATCATAGTTTGTTGGCCATTGGTTGGTGTCTGTAACAAATGGCAGGTTGTGACATTTCACATGTTAATGATTACTTAAAAAGTGCTATATTGACATCACTTTGGCTAGTGTAGTGAGTGGTTAGCTCAAGAAATTGTTATTAAGACAGCAAGGAAACTTTACAGGTGTAAGAGCAGATAAGCGCTCACAAGATCTGATTATGTTTTTGGGCATGCAGGGTAATATGGAAGACCGCCATTTTGAATTTCAAGCGCAACATTCTTGACAGTGTGTCATGTGTACTAATCTCAATTCAATTCAATTTATTCATTCAAAATTACATCATACAACATTTCATCAATAACATGAAAAAGACACCCCAAGGGGCGTATGTATTCCATGGGTCATAATATGTAAAAGTAATGTTTTAGTCATAGATCAAAAGCTGAATGAATCAAAATGAAAGAGAAAAATAGAAGCATAGATTATCATTGATTCTAATCATGTTAAGTTTTATTACCCCTTATTGATTTTAATTACTCGTAAGCGTGATTAAAACACATCAAAGAGATTATTTACATTATTTAAGCTGAGCCACTCTAGATTGTTTATGCAATTACAAATATTAAGTCATAAGGTTATGCTTTATCTCCCAATAATTGAAATCGGGAGTTGATTTGGAACTTATAATTGTATAAATGTCAGGGGTTGGTCAGAATTTCTGACAACTGACAAACAAATGGGCTTTTGAGCACTGCATAAATATGAATGTAAAATACACATATTATATAACAGTGAAACCTGTATATCTGAACACCTTTCTAATTTCAACCCGTCTCAGTGTGAATGCTTTTTGGTCCTATTGTTTTAGATCTGCTATATACTTTCATGTTAAAAAATCAGGAGAAATGTGAACAACTGCCTCCAAACGCTTTTGGCTAGTTCCAATGGCATTTGCATGAGTTGATGTCATATCTGGACGCCACTCAGCTAAAAGTGTTCAGATAAGCAGGTGTTCACATTTTAATGTAAGTTAGTGGCCAGGCCCGTAGCCAGGGGGGTTCAAAATCATCCAGTTTTTCACCATTCTGAGCACTGTTTAAGTGATTTTGGCCATTTTTGGACCAAAATTGTCACCAGTGAACCCCCCTGGAATTTTTCAAAAAAGTGAACCCCCCTTGGCAAATCCTGGCTACGGGCCTGGTGGCAAATGATAAATTTGGGACCAAGAAAATGTGTTCAGATTGAGAGTGGTTCAGATTAGAGAGTGGTTCCGATTAGAGTGTTGTTCAGATTAGAGAGTTGTCCAGATTAGAGAGTTGTTCAGATTAGAGAGTTGTTCAGATTAGAGAGTGGTTCTGATTAGAGAGTTGTTCAGATTAGAGAGTGGTTCCGATTAGAGAGTTGTTCAGATTAGAGAGTTGTTCGGATTAGCGAGGTGATCAATCACTTTACACATCAATACTCTGATTATTCAGTGAGCAAAAACAGCTCATGGTACTTATTTATGATAAGGTGTCAAACTCAAGTTTGCCAACTAACATGTAAGTCAATGGTAGAATTGTGGTTCCTTGTCGAGAGGTGTACCTTAAAAAAGTGTAAATGGGTCTTATAGCCTCTTGCAAATTATTAAGTAGATGTGCTAGGACAGGTTTAACCCTTTTGTTTATTTTGCAGTGAGAACGCTATTGTGCCAAAGATTAATATCGTGAACCAGAAACCAAGTGACGATGACAAGAAACACAACCATATTATCAATACCCCTGTCCAAACAATGTTTATAATGGCTGACCTCAGTATGAAAGAGAAGTAAGAAAGATTCTCATGTATCATTTTCCGAAATCTGATTAAACTTGTAATTGTTGTATTGTATTTCAAATATTTGAAATCAAGTTGTCCACTATACTTATAGTTTTTTTTTTGTATTTCAAATATTTGAAATCAAGTTGTTCACTATACTTATAGTTATGTCAAGTAAGCCATGCCTAATTATCTTGACATTAAATGCAATCTGATTAAACCTGCATGTTGTGTATTGTATTTCAAAATACTTGACATCAAGTTATTTACTTATAGTTATATTAAATAAGCCACGCCTAATCTTGACATCAAATATGTGGTTGCATCTATTTCTTGACCTCAAAGGTACCACATATTTAAATTACTTGACATTACATAACCCAGTGAGAGAATTGACAATGATATTATCAAATAATTTATTATTATTATCATCAACCTTATCATACTTGCTCAAATTGATGAGCAAGGTTCCTCTGACCATTGGCCTTTTTCAGGTTCTATTGTGTATTTACCAATATGGGACAAAAATTGGCATTTTTGGGCTCTATGATCGAACCCCAGGAAAGAGTTGAAAAAGAAATATTGACACAGATATTTTTCTTATAGGGAAGCTGTAGAGGCCGATGAGGTTGTACTATGTACATTAAAGTACGACAACCACAGTGTATTGAGCATAAAACCAGATTTTACAAAAACTAAAAAGCCATATAGGATAGAAACGGGTGCCCTTGGTCGAGGTAGGTGATGTTGTAATATAAAGGACATGGATTTTGACTTTTTGACATTTGACTTTTTGGTGATTAGAAGTTCTGGTCAGCTTTTGTAGTTTCAAATTTGGCATTTGTTGTCATTTGAGAACACCTATTTTATCTCACTTTATTGTTGATCCTGCAATTTTACTAGCCTACAATTTGAATGGCTTTTGCATTGTCAGAAAATGGGTGTCATTCATAATTTCAGTTAATACCCCCTACAACCCATATGGGCACCAGGATAAGTAAATACAAAAAACATTGTAAGACATTATAATACCGTCACACTGGAAAACTATATACACTACTTGAATCATAGTCAAAGGGTATCAAACTTAAAAGGTATAGAAGATATAAAATATCATTTTTAATATATCATATTTTTCAGATTTATATGAATATACAATAGAGCATAGTTCATATGAGATGAACAGACAAGAGCAAAACAGAGAAGGCAAAATGTATAGAGAGGTGAGATAATTGTAATCAAATTCCAACTAGACCATAACATACCATGAGCATTCTAGGATCCACATTGAACTGGACATATGGATGGGATGGTTAATGAATATAGTCCAATGCCTTAGCCATGATACTGCTGAGCCAGTTCATGCAGGCCCGTAGCCAGAATTTGACAAGGGGGGTTCTCTGGAGAATTCCAGGGGGGGTTCACTTTTGGTCAAAAATGGCCCAAATCAGAATGGTAAAAAACTGCATGATTTTGAAAAAATTTTTGGCCATAGGGGATTGCTCGAACCCACCCCCCTCCCCCTGGCTACGGCCCTGTCATGGTATCATGAGGACTGGTCAATACATGTGAAATTCTAGCACAAAAATGAGGGGCTCTTTTTCTTAAATTATCAGATTGCCTGATAAATAAAGCTCTCAATGTGATATGTTGCATACCAAGCAATAACAATGTATTGAAGATTAATTGATAAAAATTTATATTTTTATGCAGAAAACTTGGTATTGTCCGTTTAGTGTTTTTCTACGTCTAAACTACAGTATATGATTTGATTTTATATTTTTCAGCTTTATAATCGACATGCTGAGTTTTTACATGCTTTGGTGGGAGTGGATTTTGAAATGGTGAGTTGAAATTTGGCGAGAAATTAATGATGTTTTCCTCCCCTGTGGAATTAATCTGACCCTCTTGACCAGATTATTTTACTCTAAAATTGCAAATTTTTATGAAAACGAAACAAAAATTTAAAAGATCTTAAAAGGTAAGACACACAAGAAAGGTGGTCTTCAGGATTGAAAGGGTTTTGGCATTGCAATTAGTCAAATTCTTTGCCAGGGCCCTCCTTAGTAAATAAGAAGCACATGTCATATGTACCAATAAAACATTGATTTTGAGAATAATAATAGATATGTTAATATATTTTCAGCCCCCACCAGAAGTTCTGAGACTTTTAGTGTTTGGAGAAATAGGTGAGGAATTTAAAAAAATGAAAATTTAATTCTCAACAAGCAATTAGACTGTGATATTTGTCTATGTTGTATATGCAGAAAACATCTGAAGATGATTAATTTATTGGTGATCTCCAAGGTTCTTTTACACAGCAGAGTGTCAATCCAAATTTGATCTGTTTTAGTCAAAATATCCTGACATGTTATCCAAGGGTGTAGCCAGGATCTGAAAATAGGTGAGGCAATGTAATTAGGTGAGGCAAATTTAAATGGGTGAGGCATAGTTAAATAAGTGAGGTAAATTCAAATTGGTGAGGCATAGTTAAATAGGCGAGGCCAATTTAAAATGGGTGAGGCATAGTTAAATAGGCGAGGCAAATTTAAATGGGTGAGGCATAGTTAAATAAGTGAGGTAAATTCAAATTGGTGAGGCATAGTTAAATAGGCGAGGCAAATTTAAATGGGTGAGGCATAGTTAAATAAGTGAGGTAAATTCAAATTGGTGAGGCATAGTTAAATAGGTGAGGGAAATTTAAATGGGTGAGGCATAGTTAAATAGGCGAGGCAAAGTTAAATAGGTGAGGCATAGTTAAATAGGTGGGGCAAAGTTAAAGTTTAGTTTAGTTAATACTCTAGGGGCGAGGAGGGAAATTCTCAATAAATGGTGTATAGTTGGTTTGGCAGTATTTTCAGTTAGGGGAGAGTCTTGGATGAAATTTCCACCTAGGTGATAGCTTCACAGAGTGGTAGGAAGTTCTTTTTTTTGAAGAGTTAGCCCCCTACCCCACAAAAACACCCCACCCCGGGGAAAAAAATTGTTCACACTAAATAACCTTAGATATTTTGATGTTTGTAGGTGACATACATAGATATTATATATATGAATCATTTGCAGTATAATTGATGCTGATTACTCCTAAAAAAATTGAATATTTGTACAAAGTGTGTACCCCAGGGGGCAAATTCGTGACCCATTTCCTTACTATTTTGATCCTAACTTTTCAACTAGACACTGTAAGAGGTTGAAAAAATTCATGTGAAGTTCCCAATAGCAGGGTTAGTAACCCTGAAAGATGCAAAGCCATGGAAGAGGTAGGAGCTGAGAAAAAAATTGTTGATTTTTCGAAAAATTTGACATTTTTGACAGCTGGATTTTGTGTATGACTATAGCTGACCCCTATAGTTCCTGGATCCATCCCTCTATGATGATATATATGGTTTTATAGTGTGGAACTAAGATGTAAAACATAATTAAGATGGGTTTTAAGGAAGTTTAAGGTTTTAAACAAGTCCAGAATTTGAAAAATTGTAAATATAAGGTTTCAAATTTACGAATTTCAGGTAGAGCCATGGCAGACCCCTATAGTTTCTAGATCCATCCCTCTATGGTGATACTTATGGTATTGCTGTATGGAACTAATATGTAAAACACAATTTAGATGGGTTTTAAGGAAGTTTAAGGTTTTAAACAAGTTCAAAATTTGAAAAATTGTAAATATAAGGTTTCAAATTTACGAATTTCAGGTATAGCCATGGCTGACCCTTATGGTTTTTACATCCATACCTCTATGATTAAATATACAGTTTTAGAGTGTGGGACTAAGATTTAACATACCCAAAATGAATTTTAAGAAAGTTTAAGGTTTTAAACAAGTCAAAAATTTGAAGAATTGTAAATGTAAGTTTTCAAATTTATGAATTTCAGGTATAGCCAAAGATGACCCTTATGGGTTTTTTTACATCTATACCTCAGTGATGAGATATATATTTTTAGAGTATTTAACTAAAATGTAAAAGATGCATAAGATGAGTTTGAAGGAAGTTCAAGGTTTAAAACAAGTGCAAAATTTGAAAAATTGATCTCGAAAATTGGTCTCAAATTTATGTTATTCAGGTACAGCCTTGAATGAGCCCTGATAATCGAAGGTTATGAGCATAATCGTAACAACTGTGATATCATAGCTTAGAGACCAGGTGTAGAATATATACCTGTTGCAGCAGTTTGTCTGCTGCATATAGATGGAGTGAAAAGTCATGGACTACAGTAAAATCTTTCTAATCTGAATGCTACTAGATATAGTATTTGGACCAGCTAAAAGCGTTCAAACTAGAAGTGTTTGAATTTTGAGGTTTTTACATCTGCAATATTCTGGATTTTGAAGAAATATGAATGCATTCTCAATGAAAAATATTAATAAATATTGATAAAATTTATACTGACCACCCAAAAAGCTTAATAGCATTCAAAAATCCAATTCAAAAGTTTTGATATCATAACAATTCAGTGTTAAACTGGCAATATTTGAGCAATTTTGTAAGAAATATGTGATATTTGGTAAAAAAAGAGTTCAAGTTAAACAGGTTGATTTTTCAAATATGAGTGTTCACTGTTCGAATTAAGAGGTGTTCAGATTTCAATTTTTAAACATAGGAGTCGATGGGAGGAAGGAAAAATTGAACTGGGGAAAAGTGTTCAGATTGGTTGGTTTTCGGATAAGTCAGGTGTTGGGATGATTGGTAGGTATTCACAATAGTCAGATGTTGGGATATACAGGTTTCACTGCTGATATATCATTTATACAAGATGATGAACTAGAACTACTGTACTAGGTGCCTTTGATAATTTTTACCACAATGTTATACTATGTCAGGAAAAGAAAGCACCCATGACACTGCGCTTGTACAGCTTGAAAATCAACAACACTTTAACATTTGATAAAGGTGTCTACCAAATGAGTAATCCACATAAATTCAAATACAAGCACTTGGCATGCTATGCCCTATGATCATTAGTTTCTCTAGAATCTAAAATTGACCTTGGGCTTATGAGAGTAGTAAATTGGAATGCAGTTATATGGAATATTGAATTGGCTGGAATTGGACACACCTTGCCTAGAAATGTGTGAGTAAACTATGATCTTATATGGATACAAACAGTTCGTTTGACAATGATCATCTATCTTATCCTGTAAAATCAGAACTTAAAAAGGGGTTTGAAATGGAGATCGATGAAACCATTCCACAAATTGATAAAACTTTCGTGATTGATGCAATGGCTATGACAAAGGGAAAATGAAGATTAACTTATATGTTGAAATTTGGAGAGTTTTGGAAAGCTCTATTTGACTACTCCATCAAATCTAGTAAAGGAGCCCAAAGAATAGATTTCATATTAGACTCCTAGCTAGTTGTCTCCATCAGTAAAGGATTCTGAAAGAATGCGAAGAATGGATGCTTCCCCTATTGAACTTTAATCCATAGAAGAAATTACACCATTACCTAAAAATATGAATACCTTTGTCCAAGTAATATAAGACAAATTTTCAAAGATTACAAAGAAATTCAACAAAGCAGCATTCTAAAAGTGTGCCAAATGTCAAGATTGTTTTAAGTGGAACTATTGGAGAGAACTCAAATATCTGTGAAAATGATAACTGAAATCTCCTGTTAAATTCCACTCCTAAAGAGGCTGATTTTAAAATTATTCACTCTGTTTTACATTCAGCAGAACATGTGGGACTGCAGTAATTTGCATCAAATGACACTGATATTATAATTTTATGACTATCATTTCAATAAATGAAAAAAATTCTTCAACTATGCTAGAAAATGTCATCTGCAAAGTCAGTATGTAAACATTTTCTACAATGTCTGTTTGTTTGAAACATATTGATCATATCACCATATATACTTTTTTGATCTACATGAAGATTTTAATGTGACAAGACCCTTTTACCCTAGAGTTCCTTATATCATTGCACTAACGGAAGTTTCTAGGCCGGGGGGGGGGGGTATGATCCTTATAATCCTTATTTTCCCAAATAATTACTGTTGCCTGATGACAAATTGTTTTATTGGGAGTGTAGTGATTATAATTTGATAATTCATGAAAACATTTTGTATTAGGAGATGATCATTGCTTAATTTCAGAAGGGGCATAACAAAATATAGAGAAAACATGTTTCTTTTAATTAACCATGTCTTTATGTATTTTGATAATGCAGAACATTACATCGAACATGTTGATGTGAAAAAAGTAAAAATGCTATATCACATAATAAATATCATCAAATAATAATTAATTAGTTATAATCCATTTAATCAATCAATTACTACACTGTATACGATATCCCTAGGAGCAGTTACACTTACTGGGGGATTTATTAACCTCTCACCCCCTTAGGAACTCAAGGGTTAAGTCCTCAACTCTAATGATCTTTTAACAATACATGTAACATGGATCAAACCTGACCACAATATTTTCAAAATCTAATTTTAAGCTAAGTCATACATTCAAAAAGAGGGACATCCAGGGCTATACCTGAAATCGTAAAGGAGGACTGAAAGTATCGCAACAGATTTCAGCAATCATATGTTGGTTTTTGGCTATTTTCTGAGGATTTGAGGAGGTGCATAATGTTAGGTCAATGCATTTCCTCCAGGAAAAGCACCCATAGAGATGATAAAATAATTTCTATTTTGAAACAGGGAAGGTGCAAACAACCCACCCACATGCATAAATATATATGTGTATATGTATAAATATATGTGTTTTTACATACAGTTAACTCCTTTAAATTAAAAATACATTCCATCAGGGATTTTAAAGATATCAAATATGGGTGACCAAAATTAAGCTGAAAGCAATGGATCACATGAGTTTTCCCTATGGGAAAATAACAGGAAAATATTGTTTTCCGCTTTATCTTAAAGAAATTTATCCTTTTAATGGTTAACTATGTCTCAAAACGCAACATATTGATGCAACAAAAAAACCAGGGGTGAACAGGGTTGAAAATCAGGACGACATTTCCCAAAAAACACGTGGGTGGATTGTTTTCACCTTCGCTGTCTCAAATTCCAAACTATTTTATCATCTCTAAGAGTTCTTTTCCCGTAGGTAATGCAATGGCCTATCATATGCACCTGCTTAAATCCTCAGAAAACAGACAAAATCCAACATATGACTGACTGTCTGAAATCTGTTGCGATACTTTCCGTGCTCCTTTGAGACCTGATATTTATCAAATATTGCACTTGTTAAAATTCTTAAACTTCCTTAAAATTCATCTTCGGTATGTTTTACATCTTAGTTTCACACTCTAAAAGTATATGTTTCATCATAGAAGTATTGATGAAAAAGCCATAAGGGTCATCCATGGCTATACCTAAAATTCGTAATCTTGAAACCTTATATTTTCATATATTAAATCATTAACTTCCTTAAAACCCATCTAAATTATGTTTTACATCTATAGTTCCATACTACAAAACCATAAATATCATCAAAGAGGGATGGATCCAGAAACTATAGGGGTCAGCCATGGCTGTAGCTGGAATTCGTAAATTTGAAACCTTACATTTACAATTTTTCGAATTTTGGACTTGTTTAAAACCTTAAACTTCCTTAAAACCCATCTAATTTATGTTTTACATCTTAGTTTCACACTATGAAAGCATAAATATCATCAAATATAGATGGATCTAGAAACTATAGGGGTCAGCCATGGCTATACCTGGAATTCGTAAATTTGAAACCTTATATTTACAATTTTTCAAATTTTGGACTTGTTTAAAACCTTTAACTTCCTTAAAACCCATCTAAATTATGTTTTACATCTTAGTTCCACACTATAAAACCATAAATATCATCATTGAGGGATGGATCTAGAAACTATAGGGGTCAGCTATAGTCATACACAAAATCCAGTTGTCAAAAATGTCAAATTTTTCGAAAAATCAACAATTTTTTTCTCAGCTCCTACTTCTTTCATGGCTTTGCATCTTTCAGGGTTACTAACCCTGCTATTGGGCACTTCACATGAATTTTTTCAACCTCTTACAGTGTCTAGTTGAAAAGTTAGAATCAAAACAGTAAGAAAATGAGTCACGAATTTGCCCCCTGGGGTACACACTTTGTACTGATATTCAAATTCTTTAGGAGTAATCAGCATCAATAATACTGCAAATTATTCGTATATATAATATCTATGTATGTCACCTACAAACATCAAAATATCTAAGGTTATTTAGTGTGAACAATTTTTTCCCCAGGGTGGTGTGTTTTTGGGGGGTGGGGGGCTAACTCCTCAAAAAAAAGAACTTCCTACCACTCTGCGAAGCTATCACCTAGGTGGAAATTTCATCCAAGACTCTCCCCTAACTGAAAATACTGCCAAACCAACTATACACCATTTATTGAGAATTTTCCTCCTCGCCCCTTGAGTATAAATATTTATTAGAGTCTCACGCTGTAAATATATCAAATACAATAAATACATAAAAAATATTACATGTTTTGCACTAAAATTGAATAAAAACACACAGCCCAGCTGGCACCGGCTTATGAGAGACTTTTTACATTTTATAACACTGAATAGTTTTAAATTATAAGTCTATTTGACATCATAATACCAATTGTCTTTGCTAGTATGCGTTGCAATGAATGGGTGCACATTATATTACAGTATTTCCCTAATGATGGAAGGTTTTCAAAGTCAGGAATTATATCTCTAGCTCTTTGAAAAAGGTTAAAACGTAATCTTTCATGTAAGGGACAGTCAATTAGAAAGTGTTGCTCGTCTTCAATAGACTCATTTGAACATAAACAAGTCCTGTCCACAAGGGGAGTGGCACTGTATCTCCCTGTTTCTATTTTTAATGGAAGTGTCCCTGATCGTATCCAGGCTATGTTACTTCTTTGTTGTTTGCTTAGTGTCAAAGTAACATAACTCCACGAGGGGAAAGAGTACCCGTGTATATACAACCTACCGCCGAGCAAAGACCGGAAGATGTCTGAAAATGTAGGGGGTGAGTTATAAACTTTTGTTTATATCTTGAATTTCTCAATATGAGAAACAGATAAAAAACAGAAATGTGCGTAACTGATAAAGTTATTGTTCCAGGCACTCATGTTTGCAAAATAATGAGTACTTAGCGCAATGTTTACTATCCAATCGCTAAATTCAACTTTTAAATATTTGAATGATGATTTACATCTTGAATAAGTAACAACCATGGCTGTCTTTACTTCATTCGATTCAAAGATACAATAGGTGTAAATGTATCATATTTATTTCACTGCCATACGTTGCATATCATTGAAATCACCGGTGAAAGTTGAAAATGAAAGACCCGATTATGTCACGAGTACGATTATATAGGACCCGAATCTACCACCGAGCTATTCCGACTATACCGTGAGTAGAACCCGATGAGGTAGTGAGTAAGCTTTCGAATGAGCATATAATATCATGACGATATCACAAATATACCTTTTTATTTATCATATACTCCTGGCACCGGGATATAATATAATATGATATAATTCCCGCAGCACTATACGTCAACGTCTGTTTCCGACAAAGTTCTTAAAACATTGAATTCATGCTTACACTTGAATCACCATAATTTCCTATGTGTCTATGGTAAGTGTGCAACCCAAAAACATTTAATTCTGCATTGCAAGCGCCATTCTACTCAAAGAACACAACTTGAAGAATCCCAAGCTTCACACGCTTCATATCCTCGAAACGAAAATTACCGTGATCTTTCTTTGATAATACAATACCATAGTCAAAAACATTGTAAATCCATTTTTTGCCATTTAACTCAGGCACATTAACTTTAAAACTCAGTAATGGATGGTGCTGACTGAAGTGGACCACAAAGTCATCCATCTCGTGTGATTTATAACTACAGTGGAAGCATTTGTACCGAGGACCTGAAATACAATGTTTCGATGTGCAATGGTAACTGGTGATAGCCATATAATTTCAGTTTCATTTATTGTTCACAACAAAATGATTCACATGAATGATGCAGATTGTATGTTTATTATTTTTTCATCAGCACGTCATAAACTCGACGATATAATCGAATCTCAACAGATTTTACTCAAGTAATGTTAGGATTCTGAGATCCTTTACTCAAGATATTTTCGGATCTTTATAATATTACTCGTCGATCACATCGGGTCCGATGTCCGATAACATCGGATCTTTTAGGACAAAGTTTAAGTGAAGATTTTGCTGTTCAAAAGTGCTATTTTGACCTAATATTTTGACACTTAATATATTATGCATATGCACATCCATTTACCGACCCAAGTATGTCTTATGTATGGCTCATTATCAAGTAAAGCGAGTATGAATGAGAAAAACAAATCGAAAACCATTATACGTTTACCTTATCTCTTAATTTGGACATAAAAATATATTTCAACTATAATTCTAGGCGAATTGCGCCTGCTAGAACATCTTAGTAACAATTCTAACCATCCAAAGGAATTGTTAGTGACATTATATTACCTTTATTTGTCCATTTTCCTACGAGATGACATTATCAAACATTTGCTCGGCGGTATATGCGTGTCTTGCTCGGCGGTAGGTTGTATATACACGGGTACTCTTTCCCCTCGTGTAACTCTCTGGCTCTAAAGCATGGCGCTTATGGATCCTGTAAGTCCGCAATTTGTTGCCTTTCACTGGGTTGCGCCGATAAATAGGTGAGGCATAGTTAAATAGGTGGGGCAAAGTTAAAAAGGTGAGGCAAACATAAATAGGTGAGGCATCAAGGTGAGGCAAAACGTTCAAAGCCATATGATAGTAGCTACCATTAGATATCATCTTCATAGTTTCAATTGAGGAAAATGTCTGAATCATTACTTTTCTGATATTCTTTGGTGAGGCAGTTGCCTCGCCTACCTCATGCCTAGCTACACCCATTATGACAGCAGTGTGCATTGTGACACCCATTATGACAGCAGTGTGCATTGTGACACCCATTATGACAGCAGTGTGCATTGTGACACCCATTATGACAGCAGTGTGCATTGTGACACCCATTATGACAGCAGTGTGCATTGTGACACCCATTATGACAGCAGTGTGCATTGTGACACCCATTATGACAGCAGTGTGCATTGTGACACCCATTATGACAGCAGTGTGCATTGTGACACCCATTATGACAGCAGTGTGCATTGTGACACCCATTATGACAGCAGTGTGCATTGTGCAAATAGATTTCAAACATGGATTAAATTTTCAATAGTGCAGCACCCAGTGGTTCAATTTTTGGGCCTCAATGATTACTGTTCATTTTAGCAAGTCTAAATATTTGATACTGAAAAGAAATAGCCTAGAATTTATATTAATTATGTTTAACAGTGGGTCACATGCTACAAGTCTGAAAACCATTGGATGAGTGGAACACTGTTGGTGCCCAATATCATTGAATAAAAATGTCAGTAAATATTATTCTCTTGGCTGGTACGTTGTGAAATATAGATTTTCACTTGCACATTATTTCTGTGATTTACTTGAAATTAGTATTTTTTAATTCTATACATGTTTATTTTCAATTGCAGAATCTGCAAAGCACTTCGAGTATGATGACCTCTACATACATTATTTCATAGAACTTCCTAAAAGTGAGATAATTTTCATTAATTTTAGTTTTTAACACCTACATTTCATTAAGGATAGTTTTCATTTCTGTTTATTTAACATTTTAATCAAATTAAGCGCAACTATATACTGAACAGGTTTTTGATTGGTCGATATTTCCAGCAATGCAATGTGTGGTAATACAACAACAAATAAATTCAAAATAAATTCAAAAATTTTTGCAACTAAAATCAATTTATTCATAAACTTATAAACTCAGTATTTGTTTAGATTGGAGTGTTGACCCCCATCAGCAGTTGTCAGGGGTAACACAGAGATGCTCAACAAAGAGAGAAGGAAGGGTGAGAACTTTTGTATATTTGAAAGAATTATCTATGATCTTCCAATTGTTTATCCTCAGTGGGCCAATAAATCCTAATTCTACCAGTTATTGTCAAAATGTTCATTATTTTGAGAGGGAGGGTGCAAATAGATTTTGAGCAGGGTGGCATGTAATTTTCACTTTTGAAAAAATTCCAAGGGTGACTTTAGACAACTTTAGCGAAAATATGGCATTCCAAGGGTGACTTTAGACGACTTTAGCCAAATTATGGCATTCCAAGGATGACTTAAGACAACTTTAGCCAAAATATGGCATTCCAAGGGTGACTTTAGACAACTTTAGCCAAAATAAGGCATTCCAAGGGTGACTTTAGACAACTTTAGCCAAAATATGGCATTCCAAGGGTGACTTTAGACAACTTTAGCCAAAATATGGCATTCCAAGGGTGACTTAAGACAACTTTAGCCAAAATATGGCCAAAAACACTTGTTTAGTGCTGGTGAAAAACTGCATGATTTTAAAAGAATTTTTGGCCAGAGGCGGTTGGGGCTCGAAGCCCCCCTGACTACGGGCCTGACAGGTCCAAAAAGTGTCATACAGGGTGACCCAAAAAAAATGCAACCCTCCATTTCATCAATATTTTTCTTAAATGGAGGTAAATTGCTCTGAGATTTGGCACACAAAGACTTCATTCTATGTGGGATCCTTTGGCAAAGTTTTAATAATCATAGCTTTATATTGATAGAGTTATGGTTGTTTCAAAATATGCTCCAGATGTCGTCAATTTCGCTGAAAACAAACTTGCAATGTTCAAGGAAAACTGTTCATAACACGTATGCATTCTTCCCCATGGGTATGGCTCAAATTTTGCAGCCATTGCTTATTGGAGTTCTGCAATTGAGGTAGGGTTATTTTCATACACATTAACCTTTAAATAACCCCGTATATAGAAGTCAGAGGCATTGAGATCAAGACTGTGGGATGACCATGGGTCCTCCGTCCTAGGAGAGATAATCTTCTCATAAAAATGACGAGTGAGCCAGGTTATGCTATCATTAGAAGTGTGAGGAGTAGCTCCATCCTTCTAGAACCACTGTTCTTGTCTATTGAAGCCTCTGTGTCACTCTAAAACTGCCTGGGAACGCCAATATTGCGCTGTGTGTTAACAGTAACAGTGTTGTCATTATCAACCTCAAACCAAAAGTGGCTGATGATTTCATGTTTGGAAATTGGCAGCCCAAGCTGTGCATTTAACAGAATGTAGGGGCCTGTGAAGCACTTTATCTGGAATTTGTGATCCCAGAACACATTATTTCTTGAGTTTACATGTTCAGAAAGAAGGGAATGTGACTCATCCGAAAACCTAACATTGGAAATGGACGACATTTGGAGCATATTTTGGAACGACCATAACTCTATCAATATAAGACTATGATTATTCAAACTTTGCCAGAGGATCCCACATTGAATGAAGTTCTTGTGTGCCAAATTTCAGAGCAATTAACCTCCATTTAAGAAAAATATTCGAGAAATGGAGGGTTGCATTTTTTTTGGGTCACCCTGTATTTATGACTTGTTGAAGTTTCATAGTGATTCTAGTATTATAAGGCGGGTGTAGAAAAAAGCTTCATCATTGAAAGATAATGCTAAAAATTTAGATAACATGCCCACTAGTCTAAATATATTTTATTTTATTTTTTCAGGACAGTGTTGCTTACTTCAGTTTCCCCTTTGACTTCCAATTATTCTACAAGAATGATGTCATCAATGAGGCAAACACAGGTAAGAATCAATGAGGCAAACACAGGAAAGGATCAATCAATGAGGCAAACACAGGTAAGGATCAATGAGGCGAACACAGATATAGATCAATGAGGCAAATACAGGTAAGGATCAATGAGGCGAACACAGATATAGATCAATGAGGCAAATACAGGTAAGGATCAATGAGGCGAACACAGATATAGATCAATGAGGCAAATACAGGTAAGGATCAATGAGGCGAACACAGATATAGATCAATGAGGCAAATGCAGGTAAGGATCAATGAGGCGAACACAGATATAGATCAATGAGGCAAATACAGGTAAGGATCAATGAGGTGAACACAGATATAGATCAATGAGGCAAATACAGGTAAGGATCAATGAGGCGAACACAGATATAGATCAATGAGGCAAATGCAGGTAAGGATCAATGAGGCAAACACAGGTAAGAATCAATGAGAAAAACACAGGAATGTATCAATGAGGCAAACACAGGTAAGGATCTATGAGGCAAACACAGGTAAGAATCAATGAGGCAAACACAGTTAGGATGGATGAGGTATAGGATCAATGCTATACATCTTCACTGTTCTACATTGTAGATTTTAGTGAGATACTATATCTAGTAGTATTACATACCTAGCGAAGCATTTGTATGGAAGTCAATGGGAAAGTTAGCGAGCTATATCCACCGATATTGCCCGATTACCCCGATATAGCCCGCTTACCTCGTTTTGATATTAGATTTCTTTAATAACCATGATAATATCATGACGTCACGTCATTGATACAAAGTAACCATGGGAACAAAGGCATGTAATACATCAGTTATGTCACTATGACGTGAAATATGCCTTCGTTCTTGCCCAAATATAGAGCCTCCCAAGGTCGGCCTATATTGGGAGAACTCAGGCATATTTCACGTCATAGTGACATAACCTCTAATTAAGATTTAAGTATTAAGATATATTTATCATTCATCTACATTTCAGATCTCCTTCCCCAATGGCCAATGTTATATTAATTTATTATTCATCTACATTTCAGATCTCCTTCCCCAATGGCCAATGTTATATTTAGAGGTGCTATCTTTGGATTCCTGGCAGAGATACAGAACTGAGGGATATGGATATGTAAAGTTACCTACAATACCAGGTACATTGAGATTATATAATTGTTAATTCTCATGTTTTCATGCAGGTCCATAGCCATGGGGGAGCCATGGGGGAGAGTACACTCATGATTAATTAGGAGACTTGCACACCCTCATGGTAAATGGGACTTAAAAGTGTTCATATTTAGAGGTGTTCAGATTTCTTGTGGTGTAATTTACACTGTACTTTTACGCAAAGAATCAAACCAGCCAGAGTATGCATTGACAAGAATGTGTCAGAATTTACAGTAAAATTAAGAAAATTAATAAAATGTTCATGTAAATAGAATGTGGTCTACCTTTGAGAAGTCCTGTATCTTTTTATTTTTGGGATGGTATGGAGCACATTCAGGTTGGATGATTGTATAGATTGGTTGCAGTTTTCAATGTCAGACTCAAGCTTTGATCATTTCAGTTTTAGCGGTGACATCAACTCTTCAACTTTTTTTGTGGTTGGTGTTTGGTGGATGGCATCTATAACAAATGGCGGATGGTTACATTTTGCATGTTAATGCCTTTTTTATGTCCCCACCACATAGTGTGGGGCCATATTGTCGGCCTAGGCGCGTCCGTCTGTCCGTCTGTCTGTCCGTCTGTCTGTCCGTACGTCCGGCAGTTTTCTCCAAAACCGCTACAGATATCACCTTCAAATTTTCAGGGATAACTTATGAGTGCATACAGATGTGGATGAAAAAAAATTAACTCGATACCTACTTCCTGTCGGCCATTTTGAAGTCGAATGCTAAAATCCTTGTCTGCAAACTTTAAGAAAAACTGCTTCACAGTTGCTTTTAAAACTTTAACATCTTGTTCAGCTCACTTCATTCTAGATCTGATTAGGTTTTGGACCTGCTAGCTCAGTCATGTCAGCCATTTTGAATGTCTTAAGAAAAGTTAGCGCGCGATAATACTTTGTATCATATTGAATGGTGTTTTTGAGTTTTCATACTTTAACTATTTAGTAGCTTTATAAATAATTTCAGATGTACTTTGCTGTAAAAGCCTACTTTATTGTTAACAGTAGTTATACTGTTTTGTAAAAAGAAATCAGCAAAAACTCATAAGGACTTTTTTATTGTCGGCCATTTTGGATTTTTCGGTCCTAAAATCTTGTCTGTGAAGTCTTGTCTGCGCGTTTTCAGGTGAACCGTTTGGTGGATCAATTTCAAATTTTCAGGGATGATTCTTAGTATAAAAATCTAGATCTCATTAGTTTTTTGGCATTCTGGGTAAATGTCAAGGCAGCCATTTTGGATTTTCCGTCCTAAAATGTTGTCTGTAAAGTCTTGTCTACTCGTTTTCAGGTGAACTGTTTCGTAGATCAATTTCAAATTTTCAGAAATGATTCTTAGTATGAAAATCTAGAACTGATTAGTTTTTTTGCATTCTGGGTAAATGTCAAAGCAGCCATTTTGGATTTTCCGTCTTAAAATCTTGCCTGTAAAGTCTTGTCTACGCGTTTTTAGGAGAACGGTTTGATAGATCAATTTCAAATTTTCAGGGATGATTCTTTGTATGAAAATCTACATCTGATTACTTTTTTTGCATTCTGCGTAAATGTTAAGGCAGCCATTTTGGATTTTCTGTCCTAAAATCTTGTCTGTAAAGTCTTGTCTACCCGTTTTCAGGTGAACCGTTTGGTAGATCAATTTCATATTTTCAGGGATGATTCTTAGTATGAAAATCTACAAACAGATTAGTTTTTTGACATTCTTGGTAAATGTCAAGGCAGCCATTTTGGATTTTCCATCCTGAAATCTTGTCTGTAAAGTCTTGTTTACATGTTTTCTGGTTAACTGTGTGACGGATCAATTTCAAATTTTCAGGGGTGGTTCTTAGTATGAAAATCTAGAACTGACTAAATTTTTGGCATTCTGGGTAAATTTTAAGGTGGCCACTTTGGATTTTCCGTCCTCAAATTGTGTTGGTAAAGTCTTGTCTACTCATTTTCAGGATAACCATTTCACGGGATCACCACTTGGTGGGGACATTTTGTACACATTTGTGTTCTTGTTTTATGAATTAGTTTATGGAAAAATACATTTTTAGGTACAACAACAGCAACTGTAAATTGCTGGAGACCCCTTGGTGACACACGATCTGGTGAACTACGAAGGTTTTTCATTGGTGGATCTCCAGAATTAGAGGACCCCACATACTCTGGGATTCCTACATCTTTTGAGGTAAACTCTTGTTTGAGTTCATGAATAGAGGGAACAGGTCAAATACGAATTATTCAGTCATTTTTAGATTTGATGTTTTGATTTTTTTCAAAAATGATTTATACATGTCTGTGAATCTGTGTTTATTTTTTGATTAAGTATAACATTGTTTACTCTACAAACATAGAAAAGATGAATAAATAGAGATATCGCTTTTACACAAAGTCAAATTTTTTGTATGACCATGTTTACTTAATATCCTATATTGTATTTATTACCCTGTGTTTGATCGCTTGTTTCATTTCATATCTCCAGGGTAACATACTCAGCAAGTTTGGTTTCACCACGGCAACCACAGGAGAAGTGTCAGTCAGATTCAACTCAATTCAGCAATCTCAGTATGTCATTGTTTATTGTTTCATTTACTAAATGTCTACATCAAGGATTGGCTCCCAGAATGCAACATTGATATTTTTGCCATATATGGTGTTATGACCTTGACCTTATTATCCCATAGTCATGTCGTGATTAGAAAATTCAAAATCAAAATGTCAACCATTTTTTCACTTCAAAATTTTATTGGCAGGTTTTGGCCTTATTTCCATACAAAAAATTCAAAACCCGCAAGAAGTGATTAAGATAATAGTTCAAGTATTTTGGTTAGGGTATCTATGAATAATTCAGAAAGGATGAATCAGGTTATATGCCCTTTCGGTCCCTCACTTAAAGGGATATTCATTGCCAGACCATCTCTCTCCTTAAATGGTAGCTATAATTATATATATACTTTCCATGTTTAGCAAAACATAGACAAATGTTTTAATATAGTCAATATTGATTACTTAGAAATGTAGTGCCAGTAGGCTGCCATCTTTTAAGATTTCACTTGGGAAGTGATGTTATCGACTCTCAACTTTGCATATAGCATTAGGAAAGGAGAATAAGAATTCTAGACATGATTTTGTGCATCCTCCGATCACAGGGCTTCAAAATCCAGAATATATTCTTTTTTTTACCCCCTGCGATAAGCAGTTAGCATTTCCCCGATTAAGAACTCGCAATCTGATTGGCTGTCGCAACACTGCAACAGAAACCATGTGTAATTATGTGCATAATTAGATCACGTGATTCAGTTTAATCGGGCACTTCCAAATTGGTTATAGCAAGGGGAAGAAGGAGGTACGGATTCTGGATACCTGCTTAGGAGGATGGATTTTGTGCTACTTTCCTATACTGTTATAGGAAAAGTTATTACAGGTGAGAGTCGATGACATCACTTCCTGAATAAAATCTTGAAGATGGCAGCTTACTGGAAATTAGTACTACATTTTTAAATGATCAATATTGACCATATGGAAACAACTTCCCGTGTTTTGCTAAATATGTTAAGTATATACAGTGTATATGATTATAGCTACCATATCAGGAGAGAAATAGTTTGGTAAGGAATATCCCTTTAATGTATGTGACATATGATTTTAGTTAAAGTTCTAGTTATTCATGTTATATTTTAGACACATAATTCATTGTTAATTAATTTTTTCCATTTCAGGTCATTTTTAGATTCAGCAACATCCAAAAAGAAAATGGGTCGATTAATAGACCGTCTCGGTACATCGACAGCGCAGGCAGGAATAATGAATGTGTTGGAGGCTTTTCAGAGAGCAAGGCAGCGTATGATTGCAGCTAGAGATAACCTCACCAAAGACTTTAAAGATATGACTATATAGTCTAAACAGTGGTTAAATTAAAGTTATGAAAAGTTACCATGGAAACAGCTGCAATATCATCAAAACAAACAACAGATGACTTTGGTGAAAACAACTGGAAAAAGCCTCATGCTGCAAACATAATACCTTGGTGTAGTACTGGTATATCACCAAGCAGCATTATTGTACTGTGCCGGGTCAAAATGATTGAGTATAAGGATTAGTTCTGTGTTGTATTCTTGAAATACTGAGAATATCAATTGACTTGGATCAGTGTTAACTGGCTAAGTCTAGCTCCATGCCACTCTGGCACTCTAGCCACTGGCATTCATGTTATGGGAATGCAAAGAGTCAGTGATAGGGGTTACATTATGTCCTCTATCAAATAGGATTCAAAACCGTCCTCATTATGTAATGTATAGAGGTTATTTAATGGGAGGGATGGAATATGAATTTTTTTTGAGGGAAAATATGATATTGACCAAGGAAAATATCATATTGACCGAGGATGATAGATATGATATTTTCTTGAGGAAAAATTCATATTCAATCACAACCATCAATAACCTATTTATTCCATAATATTTTTTCTGAAACTTTTTTTTATGTCGTCACCCAATGATGGTGGCATTAAATGATACAATCTAATATATCGAATGACATTTTCAACTTTTATCAACAAATTTTAAAATAGAAATAATTTATAATACTAATATGGATCATAATATACGCTAATAAGTCTCATGACATTTTCTGATAGTTCTGATACGGGATTTTGGCTGATACGGGATCCAATGCGGGATCTGATACAGGATTTTGGCTGATACGGGATCTGAAACAGGATTTTTTGAATATAAAATTTTTTTCCCGGGGAAAACAAGTTATTATGGAATAATCCCTCATATTCCCGGGGAGGGAAATTGAGAATTTTTTGGGTTTAAAAGTCATGTTAAAATCATCAAAATATATATCACTACCATAAAAGGCATAAACACCAAAGGAAATGCCAACAAGAATGTCTTCTGTCTAAACACAATTACTTTCTGGTTGGTCTTCTTGGAGTAATGAAACAACGGAAGATCAAATATCCAAATTTTCCCTCTGGGCAATAGGATTTGCATTGTAAAGAAATTCAGGGTTTTAGCAATCTTATCAAGAAGGTCTCATTGGTGAACAAGAAGGCAGACACTTGTGTTTTTAACCATTTCAAAAGATAGGGGTACCAAGGAGGAGACAGAATGCATATAAAGCATAAACATGAAGGATTAAAAGCTGTCCTTTTGAATGCTAAATCGGGGCTGAATCTTGAGATTTGTAATCGTCAATTTATTAAGCGTTCCCAATGCATGTTTAGTGGTCGAATGGTATAATGTGTATTTCGTATTGAACTGTTGAATATTGATTCAAGTCTAGAAATGGAATACAAGAAAAACTACTGTCGTTTTATTGATATTTGAATACCGTGTTGAGTTCTTTGTTCAATTCAAACATGTGACAAGTTGTTATGCAGTAAAAGCTACGAACAAGGAACGCTCTCTGAACTGACCAAAACTGTTTCTTGTGGACAGATGTTCCCTACTAGAGGGTCCATGTTTTGGGTCAACCCCAGAAACCAATTTGCTGAATAAAAATTTAATTATTGTAGATGATAAATTACTGATGCAGTGATCATTCTCCCCAGCATTAAAGCATGTGGGTGCAGCACACACCTGAGATTTTGAAAATAGGCTTGCACCCACCTGAAAATCCATTTGCACCCACCTGAATAATGAGAAAAATTGGCATATTTTGACCAATTTTGGTCTGAATTGTGAAAATGAGATTTTGCACCCACCTGAGGAAAAATCATGGGGAGATCACTGTGACGTGATAGAATAGCAATGTTTAGAGCCTATATTCAGGTTTCTTCAACCCATTTAAAGCATTTACAATCTCTAAGTTTCTTTAAAAGAGAAAGAAGATTTGGTTCGATATCACACAAATACATTCCTATTATCCCTCAAACAGTTGTGTCACTCCCTAGAATAGCTCAACTTGTCAGATTAAATCAACTTTTGTTGAATGAAAGCATTAGTGTCAATTATTCAGATGTGAGTACAGTAAAACCTGTCTAATCCGAACACCCATGGGACCAGCCAAAAGCGTTCAAATTGGCAGGTGTTCAAATTTCGAGGATTTTGTTGGTCGGGGGGGGGATTTTCATTGTTCAGTGCACTATATTGAACACTTAATACTAAGTCAGAAAACAATACATGTTGTTGATGAGTTAATTCTACAATAGGCCTATAGCCTATTATGTTTTATTTATATTTTGAACAATTTCATCATTTTAGTAAAAATAACTCTTATATTTTGGCAAAAACTTTGTAATACACTGTAAAAGAGTATATGATAGTCTCGTACGAAATCTTATGCTTATCAAATGGCTTATCCCATATTATGGTTATATAGCACTGCTTTACTTTTGCTTGAAAAAATCCTTCATTGCTGTTTGTTTCTTGGCACTTTTAGCATTAGCAATATTTGAGTAGATATCCTCTTAAGTAAAAATAATTTTTCATGAATTCATTCGAGATGATGTATAATCCTTCAAAATATCAAGGGCATTCAGGATGTCAGATGTATGCGAATATTACGAAGTTAGATTTTTTCTCCTTCTAGTGATATATTCGTGTCTGCAAATGGCGTCTGTGTTGTCTTTATGATTATAAAACATTTACTGATTGAATCTTAACTATCATAACAGACCCATGGGATATAAAACAGTTAAGACCTGTTCATAATCCAAATCAAAAACATCCAGTTAATTTACAATATGGATAAACCAATTATCTCCCAGACTCTCACCTTTCTCTTAATCCAAATCAAAAACATCCAGGTGATTTCCAATAATGATAAATCAATTATATTCTTGATTCACACCTCTCTCTTAATCCAAAGATAAAACATTCAGTTGTTTTCTCAAAGGATAAACCAATTAACTCCTGTATTCACACCTTTCCAAAACATCCTGCTGTTTTCCACAAATTAGGGATGTCACTGAGACTAAATAAGTTAATTAGGACAATTGGTTCTTTGATTGCATTTGTATATATGTAAAGATAAATAACAACTATAACATTGACTCAATATGTGGCTTTAATTGAAATGTCCAGACATTTGATTTCTGATAAAAATGTTCAGATTAGACAGGTCACTTTTTCAAATCTGGTTGTTCACTGTTCAAATTAGGAGGTGTTCAGATTTCAAGGTTTTTTTAACATGGGAGTCAATGGGAGGAAAAAATGGGACCGAAAGAAAGTGTTCAAATTGGAAGGTGTTCGGATTAGCCAGGTGTTCAGATATACAGGTTTTACTGTAGGTAGTTACCAGTTTCGCCACCAGGTGGCTGATTTGGGGGGAAATACATGGAAGGGTAACAAAGCTCACTTAAACTTAAATATTCATAAGTTTTAGTGGTTCACTTTTCATATTACCCTTATGTATCTGATAGTTATACAAATTAAAATATGTCCAGTAAAGGAAAATATTATCTGCCTCAAAACACATTTAGATTTTTCACTTTTTGTGATTTTGTAACATGGGGACTATGGGGAATCTCTCCGACCTTAGAAGTCACATTTTCAGAAAAAGTTTTCGAAGATGATAAACAATTTTTGAAACCATATTTCTATATGTATATGACATCACTTTGACTAAAATTTGTATATTTAATGAGGCAAATTAAGATTTTTCCTACACGCATCTACTCTATTGGCAATTTATCACAAACAGATTAATTAAAAAAAATATTGGGGTAATTAATAGTGGTAGGGATGTTGCAGCTTGTCAGGGTTTTTAGGATCAATTAGTGAAGTTGTTTTAGCTTAGTTTGCAACAATGGAGCAAAAGTGTTTTAATTCCCACAACTAATTGATAATATATTTCGGATCTTATGGGCGATATTATATCTGAGATTGCAAGGAATATCTGGGTAGGTTAAAGGCACATGTTGCTTGTAATTTCACATTAAATGTGACATGTGAAGTAGGCTTTTGTTTATGTCACTAGTTTGTCCATATGAGCCGAACCTCTTCACAATTGATATGATTATCAGAAAGTATACCGTTCCTATATTTCTCTTTTTTATTGTATTATGTTATCCAGTTCATTTTGACACTAATCTTATTTTATTTAGATTTAAATTTTAAAAATACACTTCATCATGGAATATTGATTCTAAAGGATAACCGTTGAGTCATTTTCAATTCGTAACTTTTTTGAAAAAAAACTATTATTAAGAATTGAATTGATTGGCCAATTACATACGCTCTGTAAAGATTGAAAATTTTGTTTGATATTACGAAAGGCACATGACGTAGATATTGTGAATAACTGGTGGAAATTTTAAGAAATTAAATTGATAAAAAGGTTAGCAATCACGAGGGGAAAGAGTACCCGTGTATATACAACCTACCGCCGAGCAAGACACGCATATACCGCCAAGCAAATGTTTGATAATGTCATCTCGTAGGAAAATGGACAATAAAGGTAATATAATGTCACTATCAATTCCTTTGGATGGTTAGAATTGTTACTAAGATGTTCTAGCAGGCGCATTTGGCCTAGAATTATAGTTGAAATATATTTTTATGTCCAAATTAAGAGATAAGTTAAACGTATAATGGTTTTCGATTTGTTTTTCTCATTCATACTCGCTTTAATTGATAATGAGCCATACATAAGACATACTTGGGTCGGTAAATGGATGTCCATATGCATAATATATTAAGTGTCAAAATATTAGGTCAAAATAGCACTTTTGAACAGCAAAATCTTCACTTAAACTTTGTGCTAAAAGATCCGATGTTATCGGACATCGGACCCGATGTGATCGACGAGTAATATTATAAAGATCCGAAAATATCTTGAGTAAAGGATCTCAGAATCCGAACATTACTTGAGTAAAATCTGTTGAGATCCGATTATATCGTCGAGTTTATGACGTGCTGATGAACAAATAATAAACATACAATCTGCATTATTCATGTGAATCATTTTGTTGTGAACAATAAATGAAACTGAAAAAAATATGACCATCATCAGTTACCACTGCACATCGAAACATTGTATTTCAGGTCCTCGGTACAAATGCTTCCACTATAGTTATGAACCACACGATCGAGATGGATGACTTTGTGGTCCACTTCAGTCAGCACCATCCATTACTGAGTATTAAAATATTCTTTGGGATATACAATATGTGTTCCCTTGGTTCCTATGAGCCCTCGGGAGGAACATAATCCCTATGTATATCTGATGGATACTATTTTTTCATTGGTTTTGAATTTAGCGCCGAAAATGGTTTGACAAATAACTTCTTTGCATTGAACTGCAAAGAATATATATAGTTCCAAGCAGTATGTGCTTTTTAAAATGATTTAAATGTTTTATGCAGTC